TTCACACTCACTTAAAAAAAAATTGTCAAAAAAAATTGTCATTGAAAATAAAAAGTAAAATAAAAAATCATGGCTTCAGTTAGAAAGCCTTCACCGTAAGATTTTCCAACCCGACAAAATCCTCTGACATTAAGTCTGAATCGAATCAGCTCTGATACTAATTGTAAACACAAAACACAATAATTATATCGATACACTTAACCAATCCAACAATACGAGAAGAGTACACACATATAATGTGGTTCACTCCCAGGGGCTACATCCACAAAGGAATTTAATTGAGAGTTTATTACTTGAAGTGAGAGACTTCTTATCACCCTCAGTGTATATATACCCAAGGTAATCAATCACTCTAAGCTATAAATAGCTACATATGCGGTTAAACTCCTTAAACAGAGTTTACCTCAACAATCATTTATTTGATTTGGAGCGGATGCAAAGTCATTAAATCAAACTTGAGTATATTTAACAAATATGATTATACTTTTAAAAAGTGAAAACTTCATATCTAAGTCATGAAATTGCAGTATTATATTCTTATGAATTATATTTATAGTATAATTATCATATTAACTGAAATCTTTTTGTATGTTTTGATTTTTTTTTCCTCATAGTTAGATATGTAAATCTCAAGATATGCAAGACACGTCCATGGAAAAATGCATGCGTGAGACTGTACCGAATGTACTTTGTAACACACAAACCTTGGAGTTTAAATATCCCAGCATCGGAGACACTCCTAGCTATTTTTAGGTGAAATCCGAGGTACCTCTTTAACCGGAGTTAACCTTAACAATCTTCCCCTTAATTCCTGTTAAGGAAACAATATCTTCTATAATCTATATTATTACTATGCGGGAAGTTTTAGACAAAAATCTAACACAAAGTACCTTTTTACACGAAAGTTAATTTGAACTAAGACGTAGCCATAACATTACAGGATAATAACATAAATAGTTAACTAAAAACCTACTAGCATAAATGGAATAGATACCTTGTGATCTATACAATTGCTCCGCGCGAAGTTCTAGAAAGAAACTTAATACAAGTCTACTCTTTATAAAATAGCTCTGAAATTCCTTAGAATTATACTCGTCATCATTATTTGATTGTAGATTTTTCACCTTGTGTCTAATCTGAGTCTCAACTTGTATGGGAAAACTTTTGAAGCTTAAAAATACCTTAGACTTGTGGATAAAAAAATATACACACACATACCTAGAGTAATCATCTATAAATGAGATGTTCTATAGTTTTCCAGAGAGTGAATCAACAAGAGAGTATTCACATGTCATTATGTACATATTTCAGTTTCTCTGTGGAACTATAAATTCCAATACCAAAAGCTCACATATGTTGTTTTTCCATGTTGCAATGGTCATAAAATGCCAAATCAACTTCACCTAAATCCGATAACAACTTTTTCTTAAAAAAAAAACATGTATTGATCACTCATATGATATAGTATGGAATACAATACATGAAACATCTCAACGTGAGATCTGGTAAAGTTAACTTCTCCACAAATAGGTATGTACTCTAATAAATACAAATTATTGTGCTTGTACGCCATAAGTATAAACTTCTTATCAGACAATTTTACATCTAACATGACTTGCCTAGAGCCGTGTGAGTTTAACAGTACAAGAAATATCAAATCTTTCTCATGGTAAATATAAACCTAAACTTGGTAAGCAAACGGTTGATTTCATCAAATATGTGATCTTTACAAATCAATCACTCTCAATTTTACAAGATTGGTCTTTCTCCATAATAACTGAACTATTTGATCTTGAGAAAGTACAAAAAAACGCTCTAATGTAACAAATGTGATAAAAATAAACATTGTCTAGAATCCATATGTCATCAACAACTTTTGATGAACTAAAGAGTCTATACCTCTGGCATTATAGGCGGTGTGCGTACAAGTAAATCTTTTTGACATCAAAATGCTCCGCAACGTTTGTCACTAGAGAGGGACTGTACTTTTGACTGTCATTATATGTTTTTTTGGATGTGGTCACTCTTGCCACATGTTGAGGTTAGCTTTGATTAAGGAGTAATCTCATATGTAGCTATTTATAGCTAAGATTAATCTCATACGTTAGATATATATACCCTGATGCTTCTGCGGGTATTGTTATGTTTTTCACGAGAAGTAGTAAACTCTCAAGTGTATTCCTCCGTGGACGTAACACTTGAGGTTGAACCACGTTATACATGTGAATCTCGTATTGTTGGCTTGCTCAATGTGATATCGAGTTTTACCGTTAGAATTGGTATTAGACCAGGTTCCGATTCAGGCTCTATATCAAAGCGTCAAGTGTTTCTCAATGACGGTTTTTTGATGCTTGAAGGTTTCTGATGAGTGACAGTAATTTTGATAGTGTTTGTAAAAGTGTTTTTTATCCCGTTCAGGAGATTGTTAAATTAAGAGTGGTTATTTTGAGTTGTGGTTTGTGACAGTATCGTAATCAGATCAATGGTGAACAATTAAACTGATTATGTTATGACAAAATTTTGAGCAGACTTTTGCAAGGTTTAGGGTTTAGGGTTTCGGTGAAGTCCCTTCAAGAAGGCATTCGGCGAAATAGTGAAACCCTCATAACGTTTTCAATGTGTGATGCCTTGACTCAATTAGTGTCTTGTTGGAAGGAGCTCGCGACGCTCGTTTCAACGAGATCAAGAACTCTTGAAACGGATGAGAGATCATTGAGTTATGAGCGTCAAAAGCGGCTGACATGGTTAGGCGAAAGGCCTTCGGCGAAAACAGATAGAGAGGCTTTCGGCGATAACATATAGAGGGGCCTTCGGCAAAACAGTAAAACCGGCATATCTTTTTCAATTATCAGCGGTTTGACTTGATTAGGGTCTCGTTTGAAAGAACTCAACGCGCTCGTTCCAACGAGACCAAGAACTCTTGAAACGGATGAGAGATCACTGAGTTATGAGCGTCGAAAGCGGCTGACATGGTTAGGCGAAAGGACTTCGGCGATAACAGATAGAGAGGCCTTCGGCGATAACAGATAGAAGGTCCTTCGGCCAAGGAGTTGCAAGTAGGGGGGCTGCGCATAGGCGGCTTGCGCGTAGGCGGGTTGTGCATAGGGGGCCTGCGCGAAGGCGAGTTGAGAGTAGGAAGCCTGTGCATAGGCAAACGCCTTCGGGGAAGAGTAAAACAGTGATAACTTTCTCAATTCTTAACGGTTTGACTTAGTTAGGAGCCTCGTTGGAAAGAGCTCAACACTGTCAAACTTTGTCAACAGAAAAAACCCGTCATTGAGAAAACTTCAAGCTATGACACGAACTCCAAACCGAAACCAGCTCTGATACCAATTTGTTAGTGCAAAATACCATCAAGTGAAAATAAACAATTTATGCCAAAATGTAATGTAATTTATCACAAAAAGTTGCGTTCATAGTCAAGTGCACGCGTCAGAGTGTACAAAATATACACTGTAATACCCAAATATCATAGCACCGGTGACTCCACTGACTTTTTTTTGCTAGAACCTAAAGATACTCCTTAAACAAAGTTAACTTTAATAGTTAGAGCGTAAATTTTGTTTTAATATTTTTTTATCATATTAACGTTTTTAATATATTTGACAAACTTTATAAAAAAACAATTTTTAATTTTTTCTAAATTCAATACTATAATGTTTTAAAGATATGGTTGTTATGTTTATACGTGTTGTCTATATTTTGTGTCATATTAGAATTAGAACTCATAATCGTAAGAGAGTATATAGTCATAGAAACTTGAAGAGTTGAACGTTTATCAGATTAAGCTTTTTCGTGTTTGGGTTACTTATGGTAGACTGGTTGTGATGCATCTGTTAACTTTGATACGTAGACTCTTATAAATTTAATTCAATTTTGTATGACGTTCCTAATCTAAATCAATTAAATTTACACAATTGATTTTAGTTGTAATATTTATATGTGTTTATGTTCTAGTTTCATGTGTGTGTGAATATGATATGCGAACGATGTAAATTTATGACGATACATATTTGTAAAATAAAATAATTAATTTTTTATAATTTAATATTTTTGATTTAAAAAATAAAAAATAATGATAATTATGTAATAATTTATTTTTTATATTATCAAATTTATATTTTATTAATAATGAAATAAAATAATATTAGATTGACAAAAGATTAGAAATCACAATTATTCAAATAATGATAAATCTATTCAAAATTATATTTTGAATCTTGTTATCATTATTTTATTTTAATTTTACATTAAATATTGTATGTATATTATGTGATAATTAAATATATTTATTCCATAAATTTTATCATTTATAATTAATTTTTTATTCAAATACTTAAATTTTGTAAATAAAATATCATATATTTTTTATATATAATGCTATTAAAAAATAAAAAATTGAACTTGATTTAAATGTAAAATTTTATTTCACATATTTATTTTAAATAAGGATTATTTTGTTATTTTATTTGAATATTTTTTTTACTTAAAATGAAAATATTTTTATAATATGAAATTTTATTTATAACATACATATATAGATTGAGCATATTTATGAAATTAAAATTTGTAAAAAATTAAAAAAATTAAATTACATAATATATTATCAAAATTCAAAATTTTTTAAAAATTATCTTAAAAGAATACAACATATACTGCGCATCAAAACTTCCAATCAGGGAAAGAGTTTCCGCCCAAAATTTCTGACCATGGGCCCCAAGTTTCTGTTTTGTGACAAGTGGAGTGAGTACGAAAGTCGGTCGGGGCTGGCCGTCTATAGAGTCCACCGATGAACGTGAAGGGCGATCGATGGTGATGCGACGGGGGACACTTGGCAGCGACGACGTCAGAGGGGGAGCCAGGGCTTCGTTCGGTTCGGTCTGCTCTGGTCCGGTCCGGTGGCAGGAAGGCGCAGAGGGCGGACTCGAGTGCAAAGCCGAGGCCGGGGGCCCGGAGGGTGCTTTATGTGCCCCACGAGTCGAGACCGGAAGACGGAAGGGGACCAGGGCCGCAGCGCGTCGGGAAGTTCTGACGCGCCCACTACTGACCAACAGAACAGATCAGGTGCGCGAAAGACGACGGGGCCCGTCAGAGGGCCCTCGAAGCCCTTTAAACTTTACCTGGGGCATTAACTCGCCTACTTATTAAGCCAAGGGAACGACAAATCGGCGCACAGGCCCTCGGATTGAGACTCGGCAGCTGCGGCAAGAGGAGGAGGAGGAGGAGGAGCACCTACTGGTCGCCTTGGAGCTCTGCCACGACGATAGTTTCGACTATCTTTCACGGATCGGCAGATCGGCAGAGCGACGGGGGCTCCTTGTGATTCTGACACACATGGACATTGAAGAGACAGAGTGGCCGAGAGAAGCTTGCTAGCAGGTGCCACTTCGCGCTCCTTTTCGACGCGCGCGGTTTCCGATGTCCGGAGATTACAAAAATGACGGTAGCATAACTTCCTCTCCTCGTTGCATTATCTGTGTGCGTTCGCTGCTACTGGCCCATCAGTATTAAATTCGAGCGTTCTGAAAAGAGCTGCGCCACGGCCTCCGCTGTGCGAAGGCGGCCTACACGGGCTATGAAGGAAAGAATTTTGTTGAAATATGCTCCGACTCTGCGCCCGCGACAGAGAGCTCGGTTTAATCCTCCCCGCGCTTAAGTCTGTCATTTAGGATGGCGCGGTTGCGCTATTAGTCCACAGCCGCTGGCCGCTCCGCTCCGCCTGCTTGCCCTGCGTCTGCAATTGTAGAACGAGATGGGTCTGGTGTGTCCAATGTTTTGTCTAATGTTGTGCTGAGGCGGGCGGGCGAGCGAGCGAGCGAGCGCCTGCCTGACTGCCTGCCCTGCTCTGCCCTGCTCTGCCTGGCCTAATGCGATCTCCTGTTTCGTTTCTGACAGGGAGACAGTTCATCAAATACAGACCTCTGCGCGGCGACAGTGGGCCAACCCTGATGGATGTGAGTGAGCTTTGGCACTCTTTGTTTGTGGAGAAGTGAATTCCTCTGTTTTTTTCTCTGTTTCGCACGATGGGCAGCACTGTACAACTTACCGCTGCTCGTAATTGACGAGAATTAGCCGCCAGTTCTGCTCGAAAGGCCCGCTTCGCTTTCTTGCACCCAATTCTTTTCGTCGTAGGCCGTGCACGCGTGATATTTGATCGGTGACGGGGTTGGTGCATGTCTGGCTGTCCTGTCTGCCTGTGTCAGCTCGAGCGCAGCCAAAATGTAGTTCATCGAGCCATTCTGATTGCTGACAGTAACCACAAACTTTTCCGTTTAGCCAGGGCCTCAATTGCATTTCTGTCACGCCTCCTCCCGGAGGCGAAGGCTAGATTGCAACTCAGAGCGATGTTGGCTTTTGAAGCTCGTCATGTTCGGGAGTGGTGCTGCATGATTTTTCATTTTAATTTGCTATCTGTTTGAAAGGCAGTAATGCGTGATCGCAGCTCAGGTCAGTTTCAATTTCACGCTTCGACATTTGGAAGTGGAGAACCAGACCAAGAGTTGTGTCATTTTGTGATAATAAAAATATACACACGCTCAACTTCAACCAACGTCATGAATTCATCCAGTAAATTCAGAAGCCTTTGAATCAAGGTCGTTTGATAGCTACTTTGGTCCAGTCAAACACGAATTTCTCGCCTGTATATTTGTAACTGACGGCTTCAATACCTCTACCCACCACTTTAGACGAATTTTTCGAGTTTTGACCTCTGTACGTGGTTATCAAAGCGGCTGCTCATGGGTCTACCATCTGTCCTCGTTCTTATGTCTCGTGGGTGGCCTTGTGAACGCACCAACAGACCCCGGGGGATGAGGAGAAAGCCATGGAATCGGGCGACCAACAATCGTACTTGGTCGGAAATGGATCCTTGGACAGGAAAGGTCGACTCGCTGATCGAACCAAGACTGGCGGATGGAAGGCTGCCCCAATGATTTTTGGTATGTACTGGTGCGCTCGTCTTCGAAAGATCGTCATTTGTTTTTCTTGTATCTCTGCCTGCGGTTGGAGGTTGGGTTCGATCTCTGAGAGCTGAGGGCCCTCAAAAGCTGAGGGATTCTCTTTGCTTCTCTTGTGTCCAGAGGCTGGTAATGACTCTGGCTCTATGAGCAAAGTTAAGACGGAGACTCTCTCGGACTCCGGAAGGTATCCAACTTCAGGGATTCCAGCCGTGACAAGAGATTGTGATAGCCTAGAGAAGGCTAGTGAAGGAGATCCTGAGTGGCTAGAAGGAAAGATGACAACTTCTTCTAGATTAGATTCATTCGATGGGCCTAGTTTCATTTTTTTGGCTTCCTCGTAGAAAGTTGCTCATGGGACGTGCTTATTTGGATCATGCCTTCAATGTCTTACTTGGAAGTCGCTGCACAGGGACGGAGCTATGCGAGCGAATAGGTTCGCTAGGACTTCAGCGCAATCTTGTGACATATTTTACCAAGAAAATGCACTTGAGCAATCCAGTGGCTGCCAATATGGTTTCAAATTTCACAGGTGCCCTCTACCTCACTCCTTTCCTCGGGGGTTTCATCGCCGATGCATACCTGGGTCGATTTTGGGTCATCGTCGTCTTCTCGGTGATTCAGATTTTTGTAAGTTTCATCCATGACAGATCTAGCTCGCCCGGAGTGTCAGCACCTGTGGGAATCAGATTTTTTCCATACCTGTGTCATCTGTTAATCCGTATATCTCAATCTTGCATATTTGTGTGATACTGAGGAACCACAATAAGTGTCAATCTTTCAATCTAATATTCTGGAAAATCTGATGTATGCAGGGAATGGTTCTTTTGACCTTGTCAGCGTCACTTCCATCGTTGAGGCCTTCACCGTGTCCTGTCAAATCAAAAGCTCCTTGTCGCGCAGCGCATGGATGGCAGCTTAACGTCCTATACATCGGCATCTATCTCATTGCAGTAGGAAATGGCGGTATAAAGCCCAACATCTCATCTATCGGCGCGGACCAATTTGATGAGACGGATGCCAAAGAGAAGAAACAGGTTACACATTTTTTCAACTGGTTTTACATCTGCGTGTCCGTAGGTTCACTCATCTCGGTGACCGTCATCGTTTATCTCGAAGACAATATAGGTTTTGGATGGGGTTTCGGTATCCCCACGGGTATATTTGCTGCCGCTGTTCTTATGTTCATAGCAGGAGCGCCTCTTTACAGATTCAAGGTTTTACATGGCAGTCCCTTGACTTCCATCTCTCAAGTCGTCGTCGCAGCTATCCGAAATCGTAGAATCCCCCTGCCGGCTGATGAGAATATGCTGCACGAGGTGTCTGACAATGCTGTGGGGTTTTTAGTTCCTCAAAGGATCGCCCACAGCAACCAATTTTTGTAAGAGGAACCCATCCTTCCTACAAGTATAATTTTGTCATGTCTTCACTTGGTTTAGCTGTAATTCCTCTTGATAAAGACTGGTGGATCCCCGCTCTCGAGGTCAATCTGTATAATATCCCTCGATCTCACTGCCTACTGATGTAGCTCTGGTCTATTACTTCTTAACTTGGAGCGATTTGTGAGCTTTCTAACTCTTGGTTACGTCACTAAATCTTACTCTGATGATTTTCTATCTGGAGATTGATGGATCTCATGCTCCCCTTGAAGAACTTTCAAATCAATCCGAGTCTTAGTTTTGCATGAATTAGTCTACCACTTCCAACCATCTTAGATACTCACCTGGTCAATCGTGAAGGAATCTGATATTCGTTGGTCTTGTGTGCAGACTGCTTGACAAGGCAGCGGTTATTGCTGAGAAGCCAGAGGTGAAGAATCACGCCTTGGCGGATGTGGATCCCTGGAGGCTGTGCACCGTTACGCAAGTCGAGGAAGTGAAGATGATGATAAGCCTTCTGCCCATATGGGCAAGCACGTGCTTCGTATGGACTGCACTTACGCAGATGGAGACTTTTTCTGTTGAAACCGGGGGAACAATGGATCGCTCCATGGGTCCAAACTTCCAGTTTCCTGCTGCCTCTTTGGCCGTTTTCGAGTTGGTGAATGTGTTGCTCATTCTGCCCCTGTATGATTTATTTTTTGTCCCATTCATGCGGCGGTTTACTCGGCATCCCCAAGGTATCAGCACTCTGCAGCGAATCGGTGTAGGCATACTGTTCTCAATCCTAGCTATGGTGGTCGCTGCCGTGGTGGAAATCAAACGGATGAACGTCGCAAAAGAGCATGGTTTGTTGGACAAGCCGAAAGCCATTCTTCCAATGAGCATCTTTTGGCTTGTTCCCCAGTACTTTCTTCGGGGCACAACAGAAATTTTCACTCAAGTGGGCCAGTTAGATTTCTTTTACAGTGAAGCCCCTGAATCCATGCGCAGTTTAGGGACGGCGCTGTATCTCAGCACCATTGGAGTGGGACACTTCTTGAGCAGCTTGCTCGTAACCGCCGTACGAAATGTGACGCGGGATGGGGACGATCCTGGATGGTTGAGAGACAACTTGAACCGCAGCCGGCTGGACAAATTTTACTTTCTGCTCGCCATCATGAGCGCTGTAAACTTTGTCTTCTATCTAGTTTGTGCTCATTGGTACAAGTACAAGAAAGTAGTTCTCGTAGCTGGTGGCCCCACTTTCACAAGTCCGCCTTCTGATCGTGAGGTTCAATCGCGGCATTGATCCTTTTGTTTTAATAAATCAATATGTACATAAGTGAATCCCTTTCTGAGTGTTTTAGTGCCACCATTTTCTCGCTGTATTGATTATACGTAAATTGGATCATGTTGCGGTTGGAACCCTGGCTTGCCGTCATTTGCATGTACCTGATAACTACCTTCTCATAGTCTATCATAATTATATCTTTCCACATATACCTACGCAGCCTGAGATTTCGTCTTAGTTTACAATGCGTCTGTCGCAAAACTCCTGGATGTCATTCCTCTGTCACCGCACAGCCAGGTCCTAAACTATAGGATCATCATTAAGTGCGAAGGGGACATGATATCATTCAAGTACGTTCAGCAGGAGGACGCACGTTCTTGGGTCGTAAGATTTCCTCTTAGAATTATCAGATTCTTTTACCGCTACCCGAAGCAAAGCCGTGGTGAGTTTGTTGGCGAGTTGGTGATTTTAACTGCAGCTATCATCAGAATCACTTCAGCTTTTCTCTCTTAATGCACATCTGGCTAAAGCCAACCTTCTCATCCCGCTGATGGGTCTATCAAACACATGCCAGAGTAGGCGAACTCATCCCTTCCCTATTGAATGTCCAGATAGAAACTGAAGCTGACCGAGGTCCGGATGCACATGATTGTGTCTAATCTAGTCTTAATGGACGGAAGATAATAGCCTAGCAGAAAATGAGAAGTAGAAGCTTCGCTCTGCTAGATCAAATAAGATCCATCGACCTTCAAATCCGTGGCGTGGACAGCAGCCTGTGTCATGAACCACGACTTCCCCCTGCCTCGCCTGCAGGGGGAAAGGATTCAAAACGAGGATGTTGAATCTGGCCAATCTGTCAGCCCGAAGTTCAGACACCGCAGATTCATGCAGTAGTAGAATGAAGGGTACAGAGAACTCATCATTACAAAGGATGATACGCCCCCAGTATCTGACCATGAATCGGGAACGAAATCGCCTGGCGTCGTGCGTGCCGAACGACCGCTCGATGTGAACGAAATCCACAAACGTGTTGTCGAACGAACGGACGTCAGTGATCGTCAGTGTCGAACGAACGGACGATCACGGGACTTCCAATTCACGCGGAGCATGGATGGTGTCGTCGCATGTCTGAGGGCACGGGGTCAACCCCAGCAGCAGGTGCCATCGAGTTCCTGAGCACCAGAAGCTCGCCAAGTGGATTCTCCAGCTTCTACAACGCATCTGCTGCCGATGCCGCCGTCGACACCTCCCCGCCCTCTCGATGGTTCCCAGATGATGGCGACTCCCAAGCATCCGCAGCCGCAGCCATGGCCAGAGCCACTGAAGAAACTCGGAGGCCGGCCCTTCCGCCGTCGGGCTCTCCTCGCGAGGAGGCCCAGGAGGGCCACCGGGGCTTCCGGTGCTCGAGCACCAGCCACCGCCTGCTGTGGTCGTCGCGCGAGTCGAGCTCGTTGGTGTAGGTGTAGTGGCGGCTGACGGCGACGTAGAGCACGACGTTGACGGCGGCGAGGCAGGCCATGAGCCAGTAGAACTTGTCGAGGCGGCCGTTGTTGATGTGGCGCGAGTGTAGCCAGCGGTCCGAGAGGGAACCCACGAGATAGACGATGAGACTGCTGGCGAAGTAGCCCATGGCCAGCGTGAGGAGGAAGAAGCCCGTGCCGACGGTGCGCATGGTCTTGGGCGCCTCGGTGTAGAAGAACTCCATGTGCCCGACGTAGGCGAACACCTCGCCCAGCCCCGCCAGGCAGTATTGCGGCAGCAGCCAGAAGACGGTCATGGGCAACCGGCTGCCCGGCTGCGACTCCAGCCGCAGCGCCGCGACAACCGCCAGGCGCCGCCGCTCGACCACGGCGGCCGTGACCATGGCCAGCACCGAGAGCACCAGGCCGACGCCGATGCGCTGCAGCATGCTCAGGCCGGTCTCGTGATCCGTGCGGCGCCGGACGGCCGGCTTCAGGAGTGCCTCGTAGGCCGGAATGACCAGCAGCACCGTGAGGTGCAGGAAGACCCCGACGGTCGCAGGTGGTATCTCGACGGCGCGGCCCAGTCTCCGGTCCAGCGTCGCGCTCTGCGCCACCGAGAAGGTCAGCATCTGCGCCAGGACCGTGTAGTACAGGAAGCTGGTGCTCATGGTCGGGATCAGGTGGAAGATGCGCTTCACCTCCTCCACCTTCTCTACTGACGCCACGTGCCAGTCGCCCTGCCTCCGCTCGCCTTCGGCTCCCTTCCGCACCACCGGCGCTTTGTCCAGAAACCTGCACGCCCCCCTCCCCACGCAGCGCCATGCCTCTCAGTCCCATGGCCCGCTCGGAGTTCTGCCGCATGTCGTCGCATTTCGTGATCATCTCGCGAGACTCGACGACTTCTCGAAGCGAAGTGCGCTCATTTGCGCTGAAATAAAGCCGAGGCTGTCTTGTGATCTCTATCGGATCGAATGAGCAATCTGGGGGTATTGTGTTCTCTGAGACAATGCCGTCAGTCTGCCTCGAGGCTCGCCTAGCTCGTCTGAATATGCCTGCTGCAAGGGCTGCAATTTCGCTGGGTTCGGAGTATTGGAGTATGCGCAATGAGAGAGAGAGAGAGAGAGAGAGAGAGAGAGAGAGAGAGAGAGAGAGAGAGAGAGAGAGAGAGAGAGAGAGAGAGAGAGAGAGATACGCGGTGGCCGATCAGATCTGGACTCGAATCCACTGAGGACATCGGGGTCTCCTTCTCTGGGAATGAAGCTCGATGTGCGTAGACCGATTCGGTAATGCGACACTCTTCTCAACAACCTACCGATACGAAAGGACATGCGACTCAGACTCAACAGGAATTTCCCTACACAGCTGCAGTCACTGCGCAATTCCCTAGAGCAGCCCTCGACTGTCTACGAACGACGACGACGATGATGATGTGCGACTTTTAATTCTTCTGTGTGTAACGGCGCCAGAAGTGGACGCAACTTGAGAATGAAAGTCGATGCGCCCGCGTGAGTCTCGACTCGACCTACCGTAAAGAAAATCATTGTGAGGCAGGAGTGGAATGGATGCCAACCTGAACAGAAAATTGCTCTTGTGCTTGTCGTAGTGCTGTTGGTAGGCCTGAGGATCGTCGACGTAGAAGAGAACGTCCTTCTGAAACTCTTCGGTGGAAGGGTGGGGGAACTTCCTGTTTCTAAACGCTGCTACCACTACCTGCAGAGTGTGCGTCAAGGGGCTGCCCGTCGGGTTTCTGTAGCGGTACGTCTTTCGACCGCTCACCAAGAGGACCAGCGACAAGAGCATTATAATGGCCAGCGAGCCGAATCCCCATCCCCTTCCGAGCCTGGTCTCCATGTAGACAAGCAGCGTGACAGCCATGAGGCCTCCGGAACTGACCACGAAGAAGAACCAGTTGAAATACTGCGGCAGCCTTCGTTTCTCCAGTGGATCCAGTATGTCAAACTGATCTGCTCCGAAAGCCGACACGCATGATTTTATTGACCCGATCCCCAGAGCTACCAACGAGAGTCCCAACATCACCGCGGCCATAACCCAGCGGTCGGCCTTTCTGCAAATCCCTTTCAGTTCGTCCTCATCGGTGCACTCTGGTGGTCTCAGTGATGGAAATGTTGCTGTGAACGTCAGTAAAACCAGCCCCTGCAAGAGCCCACACTGGACCAGCTGAGCTGAGATGACCTGAGGCTGTTGGCTCACGGCTCAGGTGCGTTCATGCTCGAGGGAAAGCCCGAGGGTTTGAGATCTGACAAACTTGAGCCTCAAGTATGAAACATATGATCGATACCTGAAATTGAGGTTGTGAGAAGTGGAGGCCACTGCTAAGACTGGTGGTCATGAGATCTGAGGGAATATCAGTCGTCAACAAGCAACAAGGAGAAAGTGGACTGCACTGCACTGAAGCTGACCAGATGAGTTATATTCATGTCTGTCCGACTTGACGTGATAAGGACCATACAAAGAATTGGAGAAAGAAGGGAATGGAATGGGTAGGCTTACGATAACTTCAGTCAGAATGGCAAAAATGAGCGTCCAGAAACGGCCCAAACAGGTGTCTGCGACATATCCTCCGACGATGAAGGACATGTAAGAAGCGCCGACATATGTGGTCACCACGTTTGCAGAAAAGTCGAGACTCAAGTGCATATAGCCTGTGAGGTACGTGATCAAGTTTTGAGTGACACCGAATCCCGCTATTCTTTCAAGCAACTCCGTTCCTGCAATTCAAAAGTGCAAGACATTGACATGGATCCATCTATCGTCCATAGCGATCTTAAGTTCTTATATCGACATCTTTTAAAAAATATCCCTTGAAGGTAACCAAGCCAGGCATATTCAAAGAAATATCTACTCCGGAACATCCTGTAAAATGATAAAAAGATTTCTGGCTGGAAATTATCGCTCATCTACACGGAGTCCAGCGAGAGAATTCCGAACCCACGGCCACGAGTCTCACCAAATATGTTAATTGCTGGTATCCAGCCTCCTGTCAGAGATTTATCAGCCGTCCTCTGCTTGTAGTCCACAGCAGGCCTGCAGTCCCCCTGGTCTCTCGCTCGATATATTATCAGCTCTGGACTAGCATTAGGAGAGCTACACCTGTAGTCAAGAGCATTTTTTAATTGAAGCTCCATAAGGCAAAGCTCACGTCCTGAGGGAGGCACACCTATGAGGCTGATTTCGAACCTGGGCATTCGGCTGCACACTGAGAGCATATCAGTCACTGGGAACTTTCTAAGCAGGTATTATTTGGTACATGTATTATATGTCATTGAAACTTGCTCGAAGGTTCAAGTTGTGGAATTGCTCAATACTCTGAGATTGGCGCATGTAGACCCGTAATACAGAAGAATAGCACCCTTTCCTGTTGATAACTGCTATGACCGTTGCCGAATCTAAGCACGGAAATAAAGCTGTTGAGATTCACATTTTCTCGACACCTACCACGTGTCCACATTGGCTAACTCTCGTGATCCGAACAAATACTTTGCACATTTGATTACAAATGATGGCCACAATGCTGTTACAGTGGTACGTAAGAGTACCCCCAAGTCCTGCTTCAGCTCCAACACTTGTTTCTTGTAGTCCTTTTCCCGGTAAGGCACCACCCACAACCCACAACCCACACAGAGTGTGTAGAATTTGCGCGTTTCATACAATTACCCAAGGAGGAAAGTTTGAGAGCAAGCTGACAAGCGAGGCCAATTATATATATATTGCGTTGAAGAAGTATGTAACGCGCTGTTTGGCATGTTTATTGGGACACTATCACCTCCATTTTACGAGGGCAATCTTGCGCATTCTTTTATATGTGTGCCGAATCGAGGTCTGTAAACGTACGGCTGGCACGAAGGGAACATGCTGTTTCTTCTCCATCGTTTGTTCCTAGTCACGGACAGGATCCATAATAATATAATACAGCTTTGAAGCTGGTTAGCCTACTGTGAAAGTTGGATGCTACTTTGATTACAGAACGAGAACGACAAACATTTCCCAGCAGGTAACTCTTGCTTGACTAAATTACAGTTCTCTGCTGTATTTTCAGTGCTTTGCTGCAAGGGTGATCATGAGGGATGGATGCTGCGTGCTCCCTTTCGACGAAATCGGCAAGGATCAAGAGCTTTTGCCATTGTTTCAAGTCCATGATTTTCTCGTGATTCGAACGAAATGTTTGACTTCATGTTACTGACTTCCTTGATGCACATCCATCACTCTGAACCCTCCAATTGCCTTGTTTACGAGAAATTGGGAAGGTGACTGCAGAGTTAGCAGATGTCTTCATGCATTCAAGAGAATGATCATCACGAGTCACTACGATTGGCACAATAATTTGCTCACAGCATAAAGAATGACATATGAAGACTCGGTCACATAACATGTGATTTCTTCTCATTTACTTCAAGATTGACCCAGCAAGCTCTAATAATTGTTTCACAAGATAGTTACGTTGGGTAATGTGCTCAAGGTATAAAACCTGCAAATAGTTCAAAAAAAACTAAGAATTTCATATGTTGGAAGTAGCTTCAACTTACTCAAGCTAAAAAAAACTTATGATTTTATATGTTACGAGTACCTCCAACTTGCGCAAGATCCAAAAAAGCTCACCTCAAAACTGTTTTTCTCCAATACTGCCAATTCCGTACACTTCACTTTGCTATGTTGGAGGATCAGGAGTACTTAGTGTAGTGTAGTTTCAAGACATGGAGGGATAGCTATGATGAGGTTTTGGCTGCTTATCAGATCATTTTTCCCGCTCATAGTGAATATAAATAATTTCTGAAGACTAGGTTGTATGACTGTGGACCACGATCCAGGACCTCTGATTACTATGACTAACAATAATCAGAAGATTGACAAGAGATATTGTGGCGTTTTTCTCGCTTTGACTCGAATTAAGATTATGAAGACCCTTATACTGTACTGGTTGGATCCTAAATTCCAGGACTGCAGATGAATATTATAGCATCGAATTCTGCCCTGGCCGTAAATGGGTACAACCAATGTTCGACATCACGGAGCCTTGTCAAGTGGCAAGTTGGAATCTAGAATCAGTTCCGACCAGGTGAACGCGATATTTTGCGAATTTCTGTAGCCTAATTATAGTTTGAGGTTTTAAAAAAAAAAAAACAATTGGTGAATTTATTCCACTGCAAAAAAGTATCAAATACACCACCCCACAGCCGAGCAAACACAAGGTCAACTGGCAAAACCTCCAACAACTAACTATTTATGATTATCAAATAAAATACCTACGGAAACTATGCATTCTCATGAGACTCAAACTAAGCGGGGGCGGGGCCAGGAATAACAGGCCGCTCAAAGTTCCACCAAAGCTTCTCTGCCCACATGAACAGCCTTCATGGTCCCAATGCGTGGAGAACTGGCGCCGCACAGTCAATGCCTCGAAGTTTGCTGTACAATGTACGGACTATTGTCAAGATTCCGATGGTTACGAGTCTGAAGCATTGTCTTTGTGAGTTGCATGCGTCATTCGTGTTAATTTGTTGGATAGTTGATCTTCAGGTTTTGATTAGATTCTCGAACACATGCCGTGTTTGGGATAGCGAAGAGGTTAATAGATTTGTTATTGTCTTTGACTAAATGTGGGAACAATGTAGTAAAAATCAGAAGAACCCACTGCTAGCTTCAACCTCATTATAGAAATTCTTAATATGTGCTTACATCTAGAACAACCCCGACCGTATGACTGTGGACTGACGGCATACGGTCACCGTCGTGACGGTCTCTCATTTCTCACCGTCGCGTCCAGAACTCACCCGTCGAGCTCGCACCCTCCACTATTCAAATTCGAGACATGGTCAGTAGATGCGAGACAGGTGTCAGCGACCGCCAAATTACCCCCATTCACACTACCCTCCAGTCAATCCGCGGGATCACCATCAATCGCACAGGCGCAGAATTCGATCGATTATCCGGCCCCTGTAACGAGCTCGGGCTAAGGCACTCTCGAAAGCGAGAAGAATCCATGGTAGAGTACAATTGCCCTCGCCTTGCCTGGGGCTCACCCCACCTCCCCTCAAATCTGTAATAATTTCTGAATCCGAAATTTATTTCCATCCTCAGCTAGAGATCGAGTACGACTGTTTGCTGTTACTTATATTGTAGACTTCGTATAGACGTAAGAGGAACTATATTCACATGCTGAAAATGACGGCATTTTGCACGGCTATCGTAGTTAAGTTGGAAAAGTATATGGGGACTCCTTTGATTTCATTCCCGGGGCCAGTGTCAGACTTCGTTAAGACCAAAACTTCGAATTTAATAAGAATGGTGATCTTCATTCAAAGAATATCGTACATAAATCATGTGTTCACAATTTTGTGTGATAGCGTAGGTGGATGCAGAGTCTCCTTGAAGGGCATTGTCCTCAAAAGACATTAAATTTCTATCATTTTATGTATGTTCTTGTCAATCTTAGGACTGAAGAGCAAGATGGAAAACCCGGATATGCATTTGGTACCTTCACGGGATTTTCGGCCTTGAGATTCCTGGATGACTCGTCTCCCTTTAAATGTAACATTACAGTTTTTGTTTCCTCACCGTTTTCCATTTTCCCAGCTCTGGAATTGTTTTAGAGCTCATTTCCCATGATGAAGAATTCTATAAAAATTACGAAAGCTTTGGTTTTACTTTATGGCGCGTGGGAACTTATTTAGCAGGGTGCCGAATCGGTCGTCGATCAGCAAAATTTAATTTCTCTCCGAGACAAACACGCACATAAAACATTGGATAGAGTTTTCCCAAAACTCGAACGTGAATGATAGGCGCAACAAGTATCAAGTCGATTCGATATAACGTAAAAGGAGCACTTCGCAGCTCACGTAACAAGAATAATTACATGTTGGATCAAAGTACAAGAGTATGGGCTCAGAATCTTCAGATACAGGCATAGGTCTAGAATTACCGTTCTTGACTCCTACTGGAAGCATGGAAAGGAGGCAGAAAATCATCCTAACTTGCGGCACTTGCCTGTGGCCCTTTTGTGGCAGCTCGAGCAGGAGAAATGTTGTGTTTCAGAGACCCGAGGTCTTAGACTGGCTTGGACTGTTGCTCGTGCTCGTGCTTGTGCTCGTTCGAGGAGGAGGCGAGGGGAGAATCGGCAAAGTAAGTCTGCTTGTAAGTGTGGTACCTGGAGACGAGAAGGAAGGCGACGAGATTGACGCTGCTGAGGACGGCCATGAGCCAGTAGAAGTTGTCGAGTCTGCTGATGTTCAGATTGTTCGGCAGCCATGGCGTGGGGTTGGAGGTGGCAGAATTGACGGCCGTCACGATGGCGCTGCTGCCGAAGGCTCCGATGGCCAGAGTGCACAAGCAGAAGGACGTGCCGAGCGAGCGCATGTTCTCGGGCGACTCGTTGTAGAAGAAGTCGATCTGAGCCGGGAAGATGAGCGCCTCGCCCACGCCCATGATGAAGAACTGCGGGACGATCCAGAACATGGAGAAGTCGTTCATGGGCACGGAGGGCTTCAGCTCCCAGTTGGTGTCGTGCACCACTTGCAGCCGCTTGCGCTCGACCAAGGCAGCAGCCGTCATGGCCAGAATTGGGCACACCAGCCCCCAGCCCATCCTCTGGATGCTGGTGATGCCGCTGATCAGCCCGGTTCTCCTCCTGGCCATGGGCATAAACACTTTGTCGTAGAAGATCAGCGCCACCAGCACCGCCAGCGTTTGTATCACTCTTACGGACGCCGAGGGGACCACAAAATTGGATCCCAATCTTCTGTCCGATGTCAGCGACTGGAGAACTGTGAACGTGGAGAACTGGGCCTGGACCGTCCAGAAGTACCACGTCGTCGCAAGAATTGGCAGCAATCGCAGCACCATTTTGAAATCCTCCACTTCCGTCACCGTGGCAATACCCCAGCCCCCGAGCTCGATGGCGTTCCCACCTTCTGGTAGAATCGCTGCCTTGTCCAGCCATCTGCACTCGACCGCAAACGGAGAAAAGCAGCAGCAGCAGCAGCAATTGTTAAATTCTGTCCAGGGCTGCATGTACATACATTACCATGAGATCTAATATGAAGGAGTCCTCTGCCTGAACGAACGACAGGTTCAATCTGCATTCAAAAGAAATCCATTCAAGGTCTCGAATGAGACGAGCATCGACCATTGGAACATTGTCTCTTCACATCTCACGTTGGAAGCCACAATGTGCTGTCGAACCCAATGAAGTTCCGAGCTAAGCATAAATCACGTGCATTTTCATATTTCATCTGCTTTCAAACTCAATGAAGTGCCCGAATGCGATCGAGACTGAACATTTCCAATGTTGAAAGCTGTCATCTGGTTTTGGAAGCCGCGATGCAGATTTTCCACGAATTAGACCCAGCTTCGATGGGTCGAAACCAATTCGTTGGATCTTCCACGAACAAACTCAAATTATGCGTTTATGGACATTGTCAGCAAGTGAGATGAACTGCAGTGCATACCGCATGTTGTGGGTCTGGGCGACTTTGAGCTTGGCGCCCTGACGAGTGACATCGTAGAAGCCGGACTTCTCGGAGGGGCGAGCGAGCTTGCGGTTCTTGATGGCTACAACGAGCACCTTGGCCAGGGCCGTGAAGGGGCTACCACGAGATATCTGGTATCGGTATTTCTTGCGGACTGCGCACAGCAAGATCAGCGCGATGGCCATGATGATGACGAGCGAGCCGAAGCCCCAAGCCCAGCTCCTGTCCTCGATGTAAACAATGACGGTTTGTGCCAAGACGACACCCCCCATGATGTAAAAGTAGAGCCAGTTGAAGTAGCTGGGCAGCAGTTTCGCCTCCTTCGGATCCTCCTTTTCCATCTGGTCTGCCCCGAATGCCGAGACGGAGGATTTGATTCCTCCCGTTCCCAAAGCCACCAGGTACATTCCCAAGTTTACCACTAACAGATCGGTCCCGTGCGCACCAGGGCATGTCTTTGGATCCAAGCACCGGAATTGGGGCAAAGATGCGTTGATTATCAGAACACCCATACCCTGCAGAAACATCCAATTGAACATTCGTGCAGAAAGCAACAATTCAGTCAAGCCTGTCCATAAATGGAGGTCTGTGAAGCTCAAGGCTGTGTGTGTGCGCGCAACTCTCCAACCAGATGATGTTCTTATTGCAAGAAATAAGAGATAGCTTTAAAATCATCTGGATCTACATCCTCAGATCAGAACCTGCTCTGCACAGGTCTGTTAAGTGGATAAAAGATCTCTGCAAACGATTGAATTAAGTTGCGTTCAACAAGAATGCTGCGCAATGATAATTAGATGATCATGAAGTGGTATACAGCCCTCGCTGGTGGGCTCGAGTTCCAGTAGAATCCGCTGGTGCATTAATAGTAGGCGTATGAAGATTGGGGAAATCTAGACTTGGATTTAGCTAGCTAGAGAAGCTGGATGCCTACCAGCGTCTGGACGAGTATAAAAATTATAATCGTCCAGTAGCGCCCGATGAAGGTGTCGGCCAGGAAGCCTCCGACAAGGGTGAAAACATACGAAGCGCCCAAGAAGTTAGTGGCCATGTTAGCTGCATCGGCGAGATGTATATGCTTAACGGTGAAGAGGTACGTGATTATGTTCAAGGTCACTCCAACAAATACAGTCCTCTCTGCAAATTCTGCACCTGCAATGCAAGTTTCCAAACAACGAAGCCCGATATAGAATGAGCATCTATGGGTGTATCAGTCAGGGCCGCCTTCCAGTTCTAAACCTTCGAAATTCAAACAGCCTCAAATTATAATCTATCGAAAGATCGAGAGATCGAATTTGCCTTCTACAAGCTCAGCATCATATAAAGCCAGGTTGCATATATTCAGTATGAATGACACCAACACCAGTCTATGGTGCTGATGATTATTCGAACAGTAAGAAGAAAGCAGGAGGAGGACAGTCTGATGTCCTGACGTACTGAAAATGAAAGGCAACACCCGGCAGCCGCCAGTCCGTTGCTTGTTTGCTGGCTCGCCCTTGTAGTTCCTGGTACCATCTCTGGTAACTAACGAGTCTGACACGCTCAGCTCAATGAGAATGCTGGAGTCCACGACCTGTGCCTTCAACGAATGATCAACCACAGTGCAACGATGTCACTCAAGAGCACACTACCGAACCTTACACATGAATGTATATGAAGATGGTGGTCTCAGGACGGAGAGAGCAGCAATTATCTTAAGTAAATCTTTCATTCACGTAGGGTAGGAATTTTCTAGCGGAAACTCTTTGGCTGTCAGTGAGTAATTGAATCATAGATACATGTCACAGGCGTATGGGCCTAATTATGATCACATGATTATCTAGTGACATCCAAAAATCAGCTATCTAGCTAAAATTCGTACCATTTTGTTGACTAAGACAGTTAACTGTGGTCCAGTCCGTTCGAATGAGCTCCCTGAGCCTTCCCTTGAACTCACAGAGTTGCGGTGAGTAATTCCCTGAAGAATAGTATTGACGGTTTAAAACGAGTAGCTTCAAACGTTGCAAAAACTCTTGCAACGATTGCCCAGCTTACACAGTAAACATCAGTTTTGGTATCTTCTTCGGATGGGTTGTTACAGATGCCTGAGACTTTTCAGCCCATATGCTTGAAATGGGTCGATTGATCGCAGTCTGGTGCCAATCTTATCATGCCCGCATTACATATAATGTACAAAGAGGCTGACTGCCGAAGATGACATTTCATCTTTTCTTCGTAGCCCTTTTTTTTTTTTGACAGGGCTGTTGATGCCTAAGGGCCGCTTCTCCTTTTTGCCGGGCTTTGTAATTCTTCGCGCGGGCGAGAACTCAAATTGGCCCTTCTTAAGTTTCTCACCTACTTGTACAAACCATTCTGGACCATCCAAAGATTTCGCATCAGACCCGGAGGTGCCGAAGATAACATTTCATGCACACGTGCAGTCACGCAGGGATTGCTTGCTGCATGCGAGTATGTACACAACCAACCCCCAACTGATGAACGCATGTAGCTTCGACCGCTGACTTCTCGAAGTCAGCGGTCGAACCTACAACAACAACAACAAATTTTTCAAATGCTTTTACTGACTTCTCGAAGTCAGTAAAAGCATTTGAAAAATTTGACTTTCTGTAGTAGCCTCTCACTTGAAAAGTGATTATAAGTTGACTTCACACTTCGATACGTAGAGAAGAGTTTTCCAATAGAATTACTCTTGCAGGTCAACAGAGATTGAGCGCAGCTTCGCTTTGTCAGCAGCCACCATTTTTTAAACATGTCCCTTGGATTTATATCTGTTTGCATCTTCTCCACTATCCAGACTTTATTATTTACTTTATATTAAGTGATAAGGAGATCCAATCTGCTTTGTTCTTGAGTGAAATGCTAGATTCCGGCCAAGTAATCACACTCTAACCATCGTTATAAACAAAGATTGTATTAAATGTTAGATTCTAACTCGATAATCAAAGCCATATCATCTCTTTATTCGCTTCAATCACTTCTACATACTTAGATTACGTAATAGATAGGTCTACAATCTTTGTAGCTCGGACATCCAACTAACAGTTGTATTTCCAACAATAAAGTACAATGTTGATTATATTGATCAACTTTCATCTCAGAGACTTTAATAACATAGCCTTGTATTTTCTATTTATTCCTCTATGATGCCTTTTAGATTTTTGAAAAACCACTACAGTAGTTTCCCCAGAGCGTTTTTTTTATCAAACATTTATTTGCTAACAAATCCTCACTCAAGACTGATACTACTAAGCTTCACAAGGGGGAGACAATCTTAGCATAGTTAACTCTTTACTTACGCTAAATTCCTTTGATTATTAGTCAAGCATCATATCTCTTTAACATCCTGTTCTCTTTCATCCGGTACACCTATTTGCACTCGCAACTCAGCTTAGTTCCATGTCTATTAATCTTCCCATTTATGACAAGCCAATACTTGCTTGATTCAATACTTGCACTTATTCAAGCTCTACTCATTTTCCAACCATATGTGATTCTCATATTCTTATCAATCTTGTACATGAGGCCAAAATTATAATCTCAACACAAGAATTGAAGTATAAGATTGTGCTGCATCAAAATGTCACCCGGTACCTTCTCCAATGATTGATTCAATTGATAATATGCTTTGCCACTAGACTATCTGGAACTTATGATATGTTTATATAAATACTGATCTACTCTACTTTGAGTCACTAGTTTTTTTATTTTTTCTTCATGATTCTGTTCATATTTTGTGCTCCAAAGGCATCAAAGTGTTATTTTATCGGAACTGTTCAATTTATACACTAAATTATAACATTGTGAAAAGGTGAACCTTGCTTTGTTCTCTTCATTTAAACTTGATGTTCGTAGTGAATTTCTTTACTGTGGTGTCTTCAAATTCATACTATTGTCATCTGATCATTTTGAATTTTGAACCTATTTTGAATTTATCCTTAACTTTCCATTTCTTGAAAGGCTCACAAAATTTAAACCTATGTGTTAGAGAGTAAAGCCATACCTTTCAAAGGTTTGGCTTACTCTATGAATCACTGATAAGAATAAAAAAGTAAAACTTGTCACCAATGATTGAGATAGTCATCGTACTCAAATATCTGAGTGAAAAGATTATGCTCTTTTCTTTATAAAAGTTCTGCCACTTATCTCAAAACTGATTTTTCTGCTTTTCAGATATACTCCTTGTATATGTGTATTTCGATTGATTGTAGACCTAGAAATTTTCCATTGAAGTGCAAAATTTATATCGCTTATTCCTTCATGATGTGAGGTATTTAGTTCCATATATTGGAATAACTTTGTCTACTGCAACGGCGATTGAACAACACGCCTCATATCTTATCTTTTCAACTCCATTTTTTTCAAAGATATTTGCTTGATGGGACCCATCAAGTTTCGTTTTACCCGATGGGACCCCAACCATGGCACACGTGAGATTGTTCTAGTATGAACAGACGGTTCTGCGTTGCATTTGTTTTGGGGTTCTCAAGGTTTTGTTGCCTTCTCTTGCTATCAGCGTGGAAATCGGGCGCAGGCATTCTGAGATAGGTTCATTGCACCTATTTCTACGGCGCGACTCTCACATTGATGAATTTACTTCCAGCGCGGCTTGGGTACTTCTAAGCTTGGCGCAGAGAGGTGTGGCATGAGTTCGAAAGAGAATCCTGCAGTCGCATTCTTGAAGCAAGTGCAAAGATTGGCGCATCTAACTGGGGAAGGGGGCAGGCTCGATTGGGCTGGTATAGTTTGGTTCGGTCGTGGGGAAGTGGGAGAGATTGGCATTGGGATTGTGGAAGTGAAATGGCAGACCAGCTCAGGGCATCTGTTGTCCTAAGTTCTACACCTGCTTTGAATCTCCAGCACTCGCCCAAGGGTTTTAGCCCACTCTGTATTTCGATCCCCCGTCAAAATTCTCACTCTACTGCGCCCTCGCGGTTGAATTTATTTTCAAATACAAAAATAGGTATAAGGAAATATTCATATTATAACATGTACTAGAGGTCATCGACCACTCATCGTCCGTGGGGTCCCATCGGGTAAAACGAAACTTGATAGGTCCCATTAAGCAAATATGTTCTTAATGGGGTCCCATCAAGAAAATATCTCATTTTTTTCACTTCAACAAACTACCATTGCATCTTCAATTAGTTTTCTACAATCACAATGTTTTTTTCTCCAACAAACTACAATTGCATCTCTAATTAGTTTCCAACAATCATCATGAAAATAAAAATTTGTTGTTTAGTCTTTGTAGTGTAGTATTCTAAGATCAAGTACAATAAAATATCAGTTTAATGTTTTTTCACTCCTCTTTTACCAATATCATAAGATTGATTATCACTTATGTCTATTTTTTCAGAATCTTGAGTAACATAATTTTTAAAAATATTGTCTTATATAGCATAGAATGATACTCAAACCTCCACCATCAAACTCTTACTTGTACCTTAAAGAGCATATAAAAAGTCATCATCGTTAATAAAATACATATTAAACTGAATATTTTCCGCTTGAATTTTTGATGCACTCCTGCTTCATTATGTAA